TAGGGCCTAACCAACAATCTCCCCTGGCTCCCTCTTTGTGACCCTGCTCCTCAACCCCCGCGGTTTCTTTCTCCTCAATATCTCCTTCATCCGTGCCCTGTTCCCCTTTCCCACCTTTCTGCCCCAGGCCAAGGAAGTCATCACCTCTTGCCTGAACTAGGGCCAATCATCTTCCCTAGCCTGTGAATCTCTACCCAGGACCCCAAACTTCCCCCAAAGGGGGGGTGCCTATACCACCCCTGCCAGATCTTTCCGAAAGTCTCTGGGAGCCCCCTGTCCAAATTCTTCTGTCTTCCTGGTGTTCCTCCCCCTCGCTGCATCACCTGGGTTGAAACTACCTGGGGGCTTTAGAACCCATGGCCACCCAGGACCCGCCCATTAAATCAGCCTCCGGAGGTGGAGGCAGGCCACTGTGTGTCTCAAAGTTCAAAGCTGCAGCCTGCGCTGAGTGAGGCCTGCTGAGCATGCCGGGACCAGGGAAGCCCTGCCACCCAGCACTGCTGCTCCCTCAAACATGCCTGCTCATGCAGGCCGAGCAGTCTCCTGGACGTCAGGTGCCCTGCCCTCCACCCATGGCTCATGCATCTCCCCTGACAAGCATGGGGCTCAGCCTTCCAGACCTCAGGAGAGCCCCGCCCCAGAGAGGCTGCCTGCAGTGCCAAGCAGGTGAGTCAGCCTGCTCTGCTCCCGGGGGGCCAGCGCACCCCCTTTCTGTCAGGAACACTTCCTGTCCTGTATCCGCACCACACAGCAGCGTGGGAACTTCCCAAGGACGGGCTGTGTTCTGTTCATCCTTGTCAGATTACTGGTTCATCAAGGTAAACACAGCCTGACTTGTGCTTACGTGTTGATCTGAAGTGAACAACCTCATGTGTTTTCATTACACAAGATTTTCATTACAAGAGTCCACTTGTAGATATGGCTGGCACCTGTCTCTCCCCTAGAATCAATGTCTTTCTTCAAATAGGCGATCACTCGTTAGGGATGGAGTAACCACTAAGCAAAGTTAAGTGGAGGCTTACTTGTGCTTGTTTCCCAACATATAGTTTCAGTACAACCCTGGTGAAATGGTTCACTACAGGTTGGTAAGTAAGTACAAGTAAGCCCACACTTACCTTGGTTATTGGGTAACCCAATCCGCCCCTGCTGCTCATCACTCCATTGCTGGGAGTCTTGCCCAGGTGCCCTGAGAGTTTGATCAGTGCTGAGACTTCTCCCCTGCCTGGTGCCTGGTGTGCAGACTGCCCTTCTGTGCCAACTGTGGTTTGTCCTCCAAAAACTCACAAGCCAAATCCATGGCCATGGAGTTGATTCTGACTCATGGTGCCCCTACAGACAGGGTAGAATTTTCCCTGTAGGTTTCTGAGACTGACACTCTTTACAGGAGTATCAAGCTCCACCTTCTTACGGAAGATCAGCTGGTGGCTTCAAACTGCTGACCTTACGGTTGACAGCCCACGGTGTAATCACCAAGACCAAAGGATAGGAATTGCCCCTGTAAGCTTCAAAAGCCTCAAAGCTCTGAGCCTGGCTCTCTGAAAAGCAGATCTACTCAGAGCCCATTCCTTGGGTCTATACTCAGTGGCCACAGCAGGACTACCAGCTCCGGCCACGTTCCCATGAGGGTAAGCATGGGGTTGAGGGCAGGAAGGTTTGCCGCAGACCAATACTTTCAAAATAAATGAGCTTTCCTGATGCCCTAGAGAATCCCTTAATGGTCAGCTGGGGTTTCCCAGCCCTCCCTCCAGGGAGACATTGGGCCTAAAGGAAAAGAATGCAGGGAATGACCCGGTTTCCCACAACCCTCGTCTTCGCCAGCTCTGGACACATTCTGGGGCCAGTGAGCACAGCAGAAGGCACTGTATGATCAACGACCACAACAGACCCATCTAGAGTGCGCAGGCCAGCCACAGCCATCACGCTCCAGAGCCGTGGCTGTTACCTGCTGTCAAGTTGGCCCCAGCGATGAGGAGCCCAGGTGGAACACAAGGAAATGTGTCCTCCCCATGACCAACAGTTGCAAATCAACCACCGTGATCCTTAGGGGTTTCATGGAAGCAGACCTCCTGGGCTTTCTTCCTAATCTGTCTCATCTGGAAGCTCCTCTCCTGAAACCTGTTCAGCGTCATAACCACACGCAAGCCTCCATGGACAGGCAGGTGGTGTATGTGCAAGAGGTGCCTTGGCCAAGAACTGAATCTTGGTCTCCCACCTGGAAGGTGGGAACTTGAGCACTGAATGTACCACAGCTGCTTAAGGGGTAACCGAATCAGCCCGTCGCAGGGAGACCAGCGATCCAGTTTCAATGGACACGTTTCACAGGCAGATGATTCATGGAGAAGCACTGCCCACCATCCACGTTGAATGAAAAAGAGGCACTTTTCTTAACTAACTAAATAAGGAAAAGCCCAACAGGGATAGCACAAGGCTCCGGCAGCAAGGTGAGCCCCAGAGTGCAAACAGGGCCCTGGAGCACAGCTGGAAGGAAGGGATGTGGTCGGGAAGCTGAAGGGAGGACCTTTAAAATGGACCAGAGGATCATCTCAGACTCATCCCCTGACAAAGGTGGATCGAGGCTGGAAGTGGCCTGGTGCTACTCTACACAAACATCTTCACTCAGAGAGGCCTTGGTAAAATAGGGCCCCCTTTATAAAGCAGGACACCCCACCCCCACAGCCAATCAACACACTCCTTCCTTGCCCCTGCTTTATAGGACCTTCCTCTGCACTTAACACTCCTTGGCAGGATACATGGATTTGTTTACTTGTTTATTGTCCATCTCTCCATCACTGGGATTAAGCAGGGGGGGTCTGTTTTCTACACCAGTCATGAGAACAGAAACCAGCACTGCATAGGTTGTGTGGTAGTTACATAATTCCATGTCAACTTGACAAATACAGTGAAGGGGTCTAGCCTATCAACCAGGACACAGCCTGAGCATGTCTCCTTGTGGGCGTGGCCTTCCATGAAGTTTCTGGGAACTTCCTCTCTCTCTGCTTCACCTTCCTGTGGAGAAGACACTCAAAAGGAGAGTTGGTGGAACCATGTGGAGACCTGCACCAGCGCTGAGATGCTTCCACCGCCGCTGGATCCACAAGACTTTTCATTCACCAGCCTGTGACCATCTGCATTCACATCATTGCATGTGCTGCATGAGTCTAAAGAGGAATTTGTAGACTAGAATCTAACATATGGTCTAATACAGGGCTTATGGACTTGATCTGGACTGGGCTGGGCTGTTTTCTTAATATGCAATTGCTCTTCCATACTTTCTGATACCAAAATGAGTATCTGAATTTGCTTCTTTAGTAATCTGGCCTTACCCAGGTTGTCACCAATATTTGATGAGGGAGGGAGTGAGCAGTGAATGAGGAAGTGAGTGAGGAGTGAGTGAATAAGGAAATGGGTGAGAAAGCACAAGCCCATGTCTGACATGATCCCATCTTTCCCCAATGCCACGCCCAGGACCTACAGTGCAGACGATCACTCCTCAGAGAATACACAGGCAACATGTCAGCACATTCTTTAATAATCAGCCCCAACATGGATTCAGAGGGCTGATGATTGGATCTAGCCCTGCGATGGCCTTCCCATGAGGTGTGTGCTAGGAGAAGGGGCAGTAGAAAGTGGAGCACACTGTTATCTTAGTCACAGTTGAGACAGTCCGAGGCACATGGCCACCCAGGAACAACCGAATGCAAGGCTGCCCTGCCCCGTGCCGTCCCCAGTGTGGCAGTTACATCATCCGGTGTCAATTTGGGACTTGAGAGGATTAAGAATGAAGGGGCGGAATCTAGTCTGTCAATCAGGTCATAGCCAATGAGGCCTCTGTGTGGGCATGTCTTTCTCCTGAGAATTCTGAGAACTCTGGTATTTCTTCCTTGGAGACGGGAGACACACTTCTCTCTCTCGGCTCACTCCCTTGGAGACTCTACTGAAAAGACACATGGCACTACGCCAATAGACCCTGTACCCTGGAACTGAAGAAGCCACATGGAGACCCCTACCAGTACTGAGATGCTTACACCACCACTGGACCCAAAGGCTTTCTACCCACTGGTCTGTAATCGTCCTGCATTCAACATCATTGCTTGTGTTTTGTGAGTCTGAAGAGGACTTTATAGATTGACATACGGGCTTCGGTCTTAGGGGCTTGGATTGGACTGAGTTGAGATGCTCTTAATATACAATTAACCCTTATATAAAACTCTCTCATACACATCTGAGTGTCTATGAATTTGTTTCTCTAGTCTACCCAGACTAACACCCCCATGATCAGTTTGCCAGTCACCAGTGGGATCCATTGGGTTTTCAGTAGCTGATTTTCAGAAACGGATCAGCAGTCCTTTCTTCCTGGTCTGTCTTCATCTAGAGCAGCGGTTCTCAACCTGTGGGTCTCAACCCCTTTGGGTGGGGGGAGGTTTGAACGATCCTTTCACAGGGGTCGCCTGATTCATAACAGTAGCAACATTACAGTTATAAAATAGCAACCAAAATAATTGTATGGTTGGGAGTCACCACACGAGGAACTGTAGTAAAGAGTCGCGGCACTAGGAAGGTTGAGAACCACCGCTCTCGAGGCTCTGCTGAAACCCGGTCAGCAGGAGAGCAACACAGAAGCTTCCACTGACTGTGACATGGTGGCTGCACGGGAGGCCCGGGAAACAGACCCTGGTCTCAAGGACCAGAGTCGAGGCTCCTACCACGGAACCCCACTGGGGGGCGGGTTAGCATCCACCTGAAGGTCCAACCCCAGAAAAACTGGAGGTGATAAAGGCCACCGCAATCCTGGAGGTGGACCGCGATTTTTAGGGCATTCGTCTTCCTTCCCACTGACGGCCTCACCTGCATTCCAGATACTCGAGCATCACCTGAGAAAGAGACCGCAGCCCACCACATCCCCCCGGCACGCACACATCGAATCGCCACTCGACGTTGGGCTAAATGTAGAGTCCACGTGCGCTTCGACGGCGAAAACACAAGGCCAAAAAAATATATAATTCATTGTTTTAAGTCAAGTGGTTTATTATTCACTTATTTTCTTGAGTAGAAGTTTAAGTTACTTCCGTGGTCACTGAATTAGCCACAGACGTTCTACCAAAATGATAAGAAAAGAAGCACACACAAAAGAGCTGACCTTGCCACGCCTCCATTCAAACAGGCTGAGGGCTTGATGGGGCAGGAGAGGGGTCACAGCAGGGTCCTGAGGAAGTACCAAGGATCAAGGAGCGGGGATGTAGTCACAACGTCTGCAGATCTATGCAAGCGATTATGCAAATAACCTGGAAAGCGGGCACTGAAAACTAGCAGTGAAGTGAACGGTGGGCTCCGGGCATGCCCAACCCTAGCTGGGATCTGGCTCACTGGGAATCCATCTGGACCTCTTTGGGTTCCCTTTACACTTCTGGAAACACCAGTCCTTGCAGGGAAGGAGGAGACTCCTACATTGTTTTCCTCAAAATCGGTGGCATTGGGCTACCTCAGCCCTGATCCCTTGGGAATTAGAACCCCACTCCACTACTTCCTTCCAGAAGCGCTTTGAAGAATAAATTTTGTTTTCTAGAACTTTCTGATTGGTGAGGCACTGGATGCTCCCCTGTCACTGATGAGAGGCTGAGAACGCAGGCCGCTGCAGTGCTGTCCACAGGGGCATGCTGTGCAGCTAGCTACTGTGACACTGTGGTGGAGGGCCTCCAGGATATACTGTCACACGGGCAATGGAGCAGGTGGCTTGACAGAGGAAGGGACTTATATGACTTGAAGCTTGGCATCGTGCTTTGAATCGTGTGGGTCCTGCAGGTTATCCAGCGGTCTCAGAAAAGAGAGGCTCTGAGCATCCCTCACCCTGACATTGGCCTGTCACCACTGTCCGCCCCATCCAGGCTGGTCTTGTCTCGCTCCGTGAAGGCTCAGCGGGGCCATCAGAATGCTCGTGTCTTCCCTCCTAGCATCCGCTTCTTCCTGCCCACGACGGCCTCCCCGTGGTAGCCACGAGGGCGGATTTTCAACTCCACGTAAGGAATGGAGAATTCGTGTCCTTTCCACGGCTCCCAGTTCACCCCCTGCAGGATAGAGCCAGAATCAAGAAAAGCCCGTTGAGAGGTAGGTTATTTAAAACAAACAAACAAAAACTGGTGAAGGGAGACGTCAGACAGTGTAAGATATGCCAAAATAGTAATTTGTAAATTATCGAGGGTTCATGAGGGAGGGGGGAGCAAGAAGGGAGGGGGGAAATGAGGAGCTGATGCCAAGGGCTTAGGTGGAGAGCAAATGTTATGAGAATGATGAGGGCAATGAATGTACAAATGTGCTTGACACAATTGATGGATGTATGGGTTGTGATAAGCGTTGTATGAGCCCCTAATAAAATGATTTAAAAAAAACAAACTAAACTCACTGCCATCAAGTCAATGCCGACTCATGTTGACCCTACAAGGCAAGGTAGAACTGTCCCTGAGTTTCTGAGAAAGTAACTCTCTACGGAATTAAAGAAAGCTGCCTTTCTCCTGAGAAGCAGCTGGTGGTTTCAAACCGCTGACCTTGCGGTTAGCAGTCTGACTGGTAACCACTGGGCCAGAAAGGTTCCTTTACCAGAGAAAGCGCTGCCTACCTGCTTAAAAAAAAAAAAAAAGAGCTCCAACTCCGGCTGGTCCCACGTGGATTAGAAAAGAGCTGGGGTCTATGGCTGGGTGTTTGGCTTGGGTTGTTTTTTGTTTGTTTGTTTTCCAGAAGTAGATCATCAGGCCTCTCTTCTGAGTTATCTCTGAGTGGATTCAAACCACTGACCTTACTACGCACCGCCCCCACCCCCTTCATGGGGTTGATTCGGATTCACAGTGACCCTATATAAAGGTATACAAGGCTGCAAATCTTTCTAGGAGCTGTAGCCTTATCCGGCTCCCATGGAGCCACTGGTGGGTTTGAACCAGCGACCTTGCCATTAGCAGGTCAATGCTTACCCCACCCAAGGCGAAGAATGACAAGTTGTGAAAAAATGAACTCCAACTCACCACCATCAAGTCTATTCTGACTCATAGCCACCCCACAGGGCAGGGCAGAACTGCCCCTGGGGGATTCGGACAATGGCTTTTTGTGAGACCAGGAAGTTTCATCTTCTCCCACAGAACAGCTAGTGGTTGTGAACTGCGTCCCAACCATTGTGCACCCAGGGGCCCCTTAATAAAGGAGGGCAGGGTCAATCTACAAACGCGCGCCCTCTGCTGGGCAGCTGGGGTTAGACAGACTGACCACTTAGAAGCCCACTGGCTAGGAGGGGGAGGGTGTGAGCCCAGGAGGTGGGGGGAGCCGGAGGGGCGGCAAAGATAGTACAGGCCAGCCTGGCCAGCAATAATCAAATTATCTCTGCTCCCCTCTCTTCCTTTCCCCCCAAAATAAGTTAATAAAAGGCAAAAATAAACATATTAATTGGCCAATTGTGTAAAATCATTTTCAATTTAGATTGTTTAGATATTAGCTCTAGGGTAACAAATGGCGTGCTGCAAACTAAATTTCATTTTATGTCTTTTGAGTGGTGAGCGCAATAATATTTAATTCACTTAATAACCTTGCAACCTGGCCAATAAAGAGCCCCAGTGACCAATTTTATGTATTTTAATTTGTGAGGTAAATAATAAACAAGAAGCTAAATGCCTTGCAGACTGTGGAAAGCACATTAGCCAGATGAATGTCTTTTATTAGCAAATATAAGGATGGTTTGGGGCCTGCTGGCTGCTCCTTTCAAATATTTGATCTCTGATCACAGGCTTCCCCAAGCCAGCCCCGCACACTGAGGCCATGATTCATGGGCCCGACCTCCATGGCTGCCGGGGACAGATCTCTTCCTCCCTCTGAAAAGTCCCATGAGGACCGGGCATCTCCACAGCCTGGGCAGGGCCAAAGCCCTCAGGATGCGCCTGCACTTTCGATGTCTGCTATTTACAGGGATGTCGGGATGTACACAGTGCATTCTGGAGAGAGGAGGCTTCCTGGGGGCCAAAGTGGGAAATGGAAGCTCAGAATACAGCCTCTGGGGCACATGGTGGGGACAGCTTAATAAGAGAAGGAACAGAGAAGCAGTTCGTTAGGAGCTACAAGGGAGCAGGCTGAAGATGCCCAGGAACTGGCAGCCAGGGGAGGTATTCAAAAAAATTTAAAAAAACAAAAAACAAAAACCCATTGCCACTGAGTTAATGCTGACTCATAGTCACCCCTTGTGTGTTTCTGAAATTTTTAACTGTTTAAGGCAGTTGAAACCCCAGTCCCTCTCCTGTGGTTGGGCTGGTGGTTTTGAACTGCCGACCATGTGAACCGCAGACCAACGTGTCACCACTACACCACCAGGGCCCCTAGCAGAGGAGGTGTACAGGTCATCAGAAAAACCAAACTCATTGCTATCACCTCGATGCTGGCTCATAGCACCCCACTAGGATAGTCTAGAACTGCCCCTGTGGTTTCCAAGGCTGTACGTCTTTATGGGAACAGAAAGGCCTGTCTTCGTGGCAGTTGGAAGACTTGCTGGCAGGGAAGTTTCAGAGCAGGGACTGGGGTAGGGCCCGCATGGCCTCTTGTCCATGGTGTGCACATCCCTAATGCAGACTGGTTCCACCCAGGGCTTGGTGCCCCGGAGGTGTCCACAGGTAACACATTCAGCTGCTCACTGAAAAGTGGGAGGGTGGAATCCACCCAGAGGTGCCACAGAAGGAAGTCCTGGCAGTCTTAATGATTGACTTTTGGCAGAAAGTGCCCAAGGTCAGTCCTGGGAAACTCTGTGATGGGGTGCAGCTCTACTCTGACACACAGGAATTCCCGATGAGTTGGGATCGACAATGTGCCCAAGTAAGTGGTTGGGTTCAATGAGGTTTTCTTTTTCTGGGAAAGGTGGGTCTGACCTAAGGCTGAAAGGACATTGGTGTTTCTGTTATCGGAGGATTTGAGAAAAATAGCTCTGGTGGAAGGAGTAGAAAGGATTACGAAGTGTCCATGTATGGTGTGTGACCGTGTCCTGTCCTTAGGCAGCAGTGGACAGCTGGCCTCAGTGTGCATGCGCAGTGGTGAGAATGCAGAGGGGCCACGCAGATGGCAGTGATGGGGGTGGCAGTGATAGGGGGACCTGAAAGAGAAGTTCTTCCACCCTGAAGGAAGCGCGTGGAGGAGAAGACCCGTGAAACTTAACTGGTGGGCATCTCTCAGGGGCCACGGGGGTGCAGAGTGTGGGACCCGAGAAGCTCACCCCAGCCTACCTCACTGTGCTTGGTCTCCCCGTATCGGCCATTGGGGTTGGCCAAGTGGCAGTTCTTGTACCACCAGCCGCCATGATGTGTCAGGGCACAGTTGCTGAGGGCAATATCATTGTCTCTGTCAAAAGTTGTAAACTTCCAGCCATTGTGGTAAGTCAGAGCATCCCCTGCAGGAGAGAGAAGATGGGGACCAAGACTTTAGGATTAGCCATTGACGAGGGTAGGCAGACTCTGGCCCGAAAGAGGACTTTGCAGGAAAATCTCTACTGGAGCTAAATCAGTGAGAAAAAAACAGTGAGAAAACACACA